GCTCTGCATTCACACCAGGGCTGGTTGGTCACCAGCTGTGTCTAAAATTACACTCTAAAGGTGCAGCTACAAATTGGCCTGAAAGGGCAGTGAGCTGAGCTGAAGACAGTGTGGGAGCAGACTCACCTGAAGGGGTGCTGGAATGGCTTCAGGTGAGGGATAGTGAGGAGCATTTCTAAGCACTGAGACCATGTAACTTGATGCTGTGGAGGAATTCCAAACCACCCCAGCTGAATGCCACCTGCCCCCGTTTGACTCTGAGTGAAAGGAGGGGAGTGCCTCCTTGGGGACACAAGCCCTCACTGCCAGCTGGGCTGCCCCAGCTCCATCACTGAGGACAGTGATGTCTCACCCACCAGCAATCCCCCGTGGCCAGCTGGGAAATGGGACAGTCAAATGTATCTCATGGAGAGTCTTTGAAAGAAATTAAAAAATCACTCGGGTACCTGCAGAGTTTTGCCACAGGAGTTGGTACCTACTGCACACAAAAAATGTTTTTATACTGCTGGTCATCTCTTTTATGCAATACTTGTTCAGTGGATACAGCTTGGGCAGCATATAATGATTTCTTTCTGAATGTCACAAAGAATCACGTTGTTGGTTACCTCTTCGTATTTGTTATAATCTCTCCAGAGCTGCTCTATGTTTATCATGGGGTTCACACAACCACGCTGGTAAACCCTACGGACAGCTGTGATCCTCTGGTTTTCTGCATAAGATCCTACAGCTTCTCTAAACAGTGGGGAGAGAGAGCAACGTCAGCTATGACAGGTCACAACTGGCAGCAACATCAGCATTGCATTAACTGAGCTTAAAAAAAGTTAATTTTGGTACTTACACGCCTTTCAAAAAATTGATGTAATCCACCCAGATCTAGGTGAGAAAAAATATTACACAGAGTGAAACCAATGGTTAGCTGTACTTGTCATAAAGTTAGAAATAAAATGTGTTTTGATTAAGAAAACATACCTGGTATGACATGATTTCCATGCCAATCTTATCCAGAGCAAAATCATAAGCCTGAGCCATTTTTTCTCTGAGGAAAAGAACCACAAAGACCATAAAACAAGTGTTTAGTATTTTCAAAATTCTTTATTTAAGAGTCTTCTTTTGTGCAGCAAATTCTAACCAAACATCAAGGAATGAGAAATATCATTCAATAGCTGAGAGCAAAAATTGGTATTCAGATAGCTTTAAATTCCATATTTAGATTCTGTTCTGGTTGTTTGTTTTATTAAAGAATTCTTTAAATCTATTGGTGGCAATCCAGCATTTTAACAGTTCCTGGCCCACCCCATGTCAGTGGAAATCCAAGAATGCTACAGGAAGTTGAGAAGAAACCAACTGCTCTCCACATCTTCTGAGCTGACAGATGCACTCATAGTTCCTTATTTTTTTTTCCTCAGAGTTCACCAAACTTTTTTGTAATTCTCCAATAACCCCAAAAGGCTGGGACAATTAGGAGTGGCTCCCTTGTGTGGAAACTGCCCAGAATACTTCACATGATTTCTTACTTCCCCCAGATTCAAAGTATTTTCCCTCAAATTTAAAATGTTTACAGAATTTCCTTGGTTAAGTTTCAGTGAAAGCTGTTTGCCCTGTCCCCAGCTTTTCTCCTCGTTTCCTTTACTCAAACACACTTCAGTATCTTATTACCTCCTTGACCACATTAACAGGAGAAACAGAGGAAAGGCAAATTAATAATAACTGAATAAACTGATATTTCTAAAATTGTTTCAAAACTGTCCTGTAAAAATAAATTCAAACCCCTTGCTTATTTTCTCTGTTAATGCATTACTTATTTTAGTAATTATAGTGCAAAGAAATTAGTGGGCTGGGGAAGAAACAGTTTATAGGTGCTGGAGGTCACTGGTATTTTCTGAAACTCAACCCACAGGAATATAAATAAGCAAAATGTAATAAGTGAAAAGGGATGAAGATCAACATATCCCAAAATTCTGACACTCTGAATTTTATGACTTTCTAATGCATTCCAAAATTTCCCCCAATTCCTGAACTCTTTACTGTTACTGGTGCCAGCTGGAACCAGTGCTGGATTTTGTGGGGACTCTCATCAGGACACTGAGAGCAAGGACAAAGAGGATGAAATGTGCTTCAGGTTGGCTGAAGCACCAATCCCACCTGCAGGAGCTGCCATTGATACCCCAGCCCCTCCACTGCTCTTATCCCATCCTGTTAGAGGAATCACGACTAAGGAACCAATGTTACCCAGCAAGCTCAATGAAAGAGACTTTAATGTTTTCTAAATGCAGATTATATATTAACCCCCCCACCACTCTGACAGAAAACCCCCAGACAGATTTGCCACCCAGGTTCCTCCCCATCCTCTGGTCAAAAAATCAAGAAAAGATTCACCATAAAACTAGAATAATTCAGAGCAACTCTGGGAACTTACTTGTAACTAGGTAGCTTCCCCTTGGTTTCTCGTACATAGGAAAGGTAACATTTCCATAAATCAATGTGTAAAACCTTCATAAGGCAGCGCTGAAATAACTGTTTAATACATCAAGAAGACGTGATCAGGATTCCAGATATAGAAATTAAGTTTCTACTTTTAAGGCTATACAAAATGATTTTAAATAACCCTTGTAAATTATGATTGAGATTTATAAGAAAGAATAAGTTAAACTACTCATTCTTGTGTTTAAAGCATCTCCATGCTATGCAAGGGAACTGGAGAGAATTAAGCAGAGAAATCCCCCTGCACACTTCACTGATTAGAGCTTAGTACCAACAAATTCAACTTTAGGGATTTTTTTAATCCGTGTTTCACATTCAATGACAGCTACAGTGTTTTATCAATCTGATTTAGCCCAATTACAAGGTACTTGTTCTTGCTATAGAGATATATTACATATATTAATATGACTCACCTTTTCCACTTTGTCATAATTTTTTGCTTTAATCTACAGGGAAGCAGAAAAAAAAAAAAACAACAAATCACTTAAGAAACTATTTTAGAATAGTAGGAATATATTCTTCATACAGTGCTATAGCATTCCAGTTTGTACCTTGTCTGCCTAAACTAATTACACTGAAACACCACATAACGTTTTGAAAATATAATTAAACATACAAAAGTCATGTAGTTTGTTGCAAAATTAGCAGGGTTTTTATTTTTATTTTGAATTCTACAATTCCAAAATGTAGGTACCAGTAGGCAAATTTGCTTTCTGGTTTGAACACCCAGACTTAGCCTTTTCTTTCAAGGAACCTGTTGCCTTCAGTGCAGATACAGATTTAGGTACCAGAGCTTCTGGACTAAGATTTAGTAAATTAAGGGTAAAATACTATACTTACAAAACTACTATGCTAATAAATGTATTATACTTGAATATTCATTTCTCAAAGTGCACTTTGCTCCAGTGTGCTGATGCTGAATAAGGGAATAATAACCATGGAGAACCTGTTCCTCCACAGCTGCCCCCCTTGGAGGAGGAACCAAAGCACACTCCCATGTCAGCAGCAGTTTCATTCATTCATTCATTCATTCATTCATTCATTCATTCATTCATACACACAAGGGCAGGGGTGAAGTTCAGACCCCAGCTGCCAGGCTGCCTTTCAGACAGGACAAAGGAAAGCACGAGACTCATGAGGAGGGCAGAGCAGAGTGGCATCCTGCACGTATCTGTAAGCTCCAGCTATGGCAGCACGCTGGGCAATCTCTGCACACACACCCTGATGACACAAGGAAAGTCAACAAGCCTTGAAATAAAGCGCCTTTAATGAAATAAGCATTTCTTATGCTGTGTTGCGTTTCTGTCAAGCGTCAAACTCCCCTTTTAAATCTCATTGCTCTTTGTTTATTTAGCGGATTCCCAGCCTTTACTGCGGTGTGAAACACAAGCACCTCTCCACAGGAGCAGGGTGTAGGCAGCAAACAGCACCCTTTGCACCACGGATTCACCATTTCATTTTAGATCATTCCAACTCTAAAGCACAGCAGAATTTTTAATGGATGCATCAGGAGACACGGAGTGCAGGAGATCTAAAATAAGCACGCCCCGCCTCCTGCTTCCTGAGCCTCTACTTCTGCAACACCCCGGGCCTGAGAGGCTCAAAAAAGCCATCCCCGTTTCTCTCACTGCCGGAAAAGATGAGTTAAAAATGAGAGAATTGAAATAAAACTGAAAAAAAACTTTATTGGCACACAAGGCAGACTGGACCCTCGTGTCTGTACCATGCTTGGAGCATTATCCCACCCAGGTGGAAAGAATTCCACACAATCCAGGATGGCACGAAGGTAAACCTAATGGTGTCTTGTAGAATCAAAAAAACCCCCAAACCAGACATTTTTACTTCATCCTATTTTGACAGCAATTTTTCATGTCCCTCAGCACCTCTTACAATATGAGAGGGATTAATTAAAGAGACAGAGCTCTCAGTCTATGCCTCCCACTCCCTGAAATCTCCTGCTATCCTTGGCTGAGTGGAAAAGAACAAATGAATTTTGCTTTCCATGTCTTAGCACACAGGACAGCTGCCTGCACCTTCTTTCTCTTGTACTTAAGTAAAACCTTCAACAAGATATGCAGGATTAATTTTCTGTTTTTAACAGACTGAGATAGGAGATAGTATGAACTCTTTTGTGAAAATTAATTATTTAATTCACAGCTTTGCTGCTGACAAAAGGCACCACCCTACAGCTGTTCAGTAACAAGATGAAAAATAATTTTTAAGAGCTCAGAATGACAAGCTGTAAGCAGACAGGGCAAAAAAATGAGTTTGCCTCCCAGGTGCAGCCAGGTAAACAGTGTCAGCAAGTTTAGTAGCTCCTGGCAGCACTGTCACCAGGCAACATCAAAGGATGGAGCACAAGAAATATGTATCAATTAGACTGCATGCACTTCCCAGAATCAAAGACCTTGAAAACAAAACTACTTTGCTAAGAAAAGAAGGTACATTCTTTATTTGCATGTGCTATGACTCAAAGCAAAATATTTTCTATGTGATTATCATATATATGAAAGCTGCTGACCACATCTGGACTTCAAGTCAGCACTCCGTATTTGTTACATCCACACAAGTGCTTTGGTATCTAAAAATTCAGAAGTCTTGGTACCAGTGAAGTTAGGAGGCTGGCAAGCAGAAGGATTTGTTTAAAAAGCAAAGCAAAGCAGTATTGGCCAAGGCTTAGTGGGTGTCTCAATGGAAAAGCATCTCTCCTGCAGGAATCTGCATTTCTTGCCTCACCACTCCCAAGCGAACGCCCTGGCAGCCCTGGCTCAGGGAACGTCGTCCCCCAGCGAGGGCAGGTGCTGCCTCCAGGACATAGCACCACACATTTCTTGGTTTTCCTATGACACACACTGCCACAGGCAGTGATGAGATGTGGGAAAACATTAAAGAACTGACATTACTAATTTCGTCCTTAAAAACAAACATAAAGTCAACTATAAAGATATTTACAGCAGCTTATCCTCCAATTTCTAAGGCTGCCAGGATTCCTGTTCTGACTGTTTTAATTCAAGGGGCAGGTCTAACCCTCACAGGCTGACACACAGGAGTGGCTCCACCACAAATCCTCCTCCTACTCAAGGCAAAATCCATGTAATGAGTCCAATGTAATGACTCCATGCAATCCAAGGATGGAGTCTCCTCTCCATCCTTGAAGACTACACAAACACCACCCAGTCTGAGGAGCCATGCTTGGACATTCCTGTAGCAAAGCACACCTGAACCTGCCTCCATGTGCCCATGACAAGGAGAAATTCCACCTACACTGCTACAAGAGTAACTTTAATTTGATGCTCCAATCAGAAATTTAAGTCACTACTGTATCATCTTTGTACAAGATGAATTCATAGTATGAGTCAAATTTCTGCCCAGAACACACAATGTAATTCCCTATAAAGAGCTTCACAAACATTGAAGGGCAAAACTTAATCCATAAATTACACAGCAGTTCACCCTTTTAAACCACCTTTTACAAGACACATGAATCATTTATGATCCTAAGGCAAGTGATTTTACTAATCTAGAGACTTAATACTAGTTCTAGTTGTCTGACAATGTACAACACGAGCCTAAAAAGCATCCCTGTTTTACTTTAACCTTTTCAGCTTTCCATCAAGCTCCTAAGGAAGGGCAGTTAGTACATGGTAATTAAGGACTAGCATGGTTTGATTTTTTTCTATATCCCAACTCCATTTTCTTTCTATCAATTGTTATTTTCTAGAGGAAAAAAAAAATTCTCCAGCAGAAAAGCTGATGTTTCCTTATTCACTGCCTCTAGCTCTCCCCTTGGTGAGATAGATGCTCTTGCTCTGTTTACTGTCTGCACTACTCTCCAGGGTTTTTTTAGAGTTCTTTTGGACCTGAAGAGAAACACTCTGCACCCCTGAGACTGCAGAAGCTGATGAGGGACAAACTGGGAGAGAAAGAAACACCACAGCTACATGGGTGTTACCTTTTTAAGGATTTTCCTAAAATCTGGTTTTGTTACAAACACTAAAAGGCATGCACCATCCTTAATGTTTCAGTTGGTCGTTTGTTTTTTTTTAAACAGATACACAACATCTATTTCACAGTACAAAATTACAACCAGAGTCTAAATATATGTATTTGGAAATATTGCTTTTGTTTGTTAACTGAAGGGAACTCCTTGTCAAAGACTAATATTAATTGACAGTTACACAACTGGGTATTAGATAAATAAAGTTAACATTTTAAAAATAAAACCAGACCACACAAAATTTATCATCACTGAATGCATTTGTGTTGGCTATTTGCTGTTTTGTTTTGTTTTTTACATCTTGATTGTCAGGGTGACATAATCAACTCCCCACTGTCAAGCACAGGGGGGTGCAGTTTGGGGGTCTCTAGCAGTACAGAACTGTGGGTGTAACAAAATACACTCACATTTCTCTGTTTCCAAAGTACAGGCTAGAGACCACAGCAGTTAAACTGCTCAGACTGCCTCAAAGGAACGGCACCTCTGAAAGGATGGAGATGATAATTCTCTGTTCTGTCTTCAGCACATTCAGCCTTTTGCAGCTCGCTGAGGCTCCCAGTCACTAATTGTGTGAGCCAATTAACAAACTGGTGACAAACCCGTTTTCCTACAGGTCAGGGACCAGCAATGGCCTTTGCAAACAGCAGCCCAAGCTCTGCCCAAGCACATGAAATGCAGGGAAAGGCAGGGCTAGCACTGCTCCTCCCCGTGCTCATTAACCCAAGGAGGCTGGACTATCATCGTCTAAATAACTGGATGCAAAACATATTTTATGCATGCTGAACAAAGCATGTATTTCACCTGTGCCAGATATTCCAAATCCTTTATTTAAAAACATTAGCATGTGATTGCAGATGCAATTTCTGTAATATATTGTTTTGCTACAATTTGTACCAGATAAGGCTTGAATTATTAGGTATTTTTGCTGGTTTTGTTCAGAGTTTTAATATTCCCTGTGAAAATACAGCTTTTATCTTGCTATTAGTAAAGCCTGCAAGGAGGAGATAAGAGTACACTGACCATGGGAAAACTCATTTTCTCAGACGGCAGCAAGATGAGATTCTACATATTTTCATTCAGAACTGTAATTTTTCACATTCACCTGGTTGTATGTTTCAATTTCAAAGTCTGCCATAAATTGTGATTTGAAAAGTTTCTTAAAATTATTCTAAATCAAAAGCCTCCAACTCATATTTACAAGGACTATTTATAGAGCTTCTAGAACCATGGTATCAAAATTTAAGTCATGTTGTTTCCACTAGGTATATCACATGTAAAAGAGGATTTACTCACAGCTGCCAAAAAAATAGCAAAAACCCCCACTAATTTGCAGTCTGCTTCTGAGAAAATCTAAGAATAGAGTATTTCAGCTGGAAGGAACCTACCCTGAATCACCCAGTCCCACTTCAGGGCTGACAAAAGGCTCCAGGATGTTGTTAAGGGCACTGTCCCTTGACACTTAAACCCCACCAGGCTCTGGGCACTGACCACCTCTCTGGGAAACCAAAGTTCCACCAGCTGCCTGATCCCCATCAACTCTGAGGTGCCATATCCACTGTATTTCCAGTTAGATACACTTTCAATTTGCTCACAGTATTTAAGAATAAAAAGACTTTACAGTAACTGAGAATATTGGCTCTGCTAATGAAGCAATGCTGCAGTTCTGTAAATCCAATTACCAGTTAATATCCTGCACTCAAAGTAGCTGAACAGGCACTTACTGAACAGATAGTGAGAAAGTTGATTTTAAATAGCAAAATCCTGAGCCACATTACCATTTTCAACAGAAAAGGGTGGTCACTGTCAACAGGAAAAATGATAATTAGGAAATGAAGGGCAAAGGAGCTAAGTGGCAGCAGGAAATGGGGACAGGGCAGTGTCAGAGAGCCACTGCATGAATGGGCAGCAATATGTAAGACTGCTCCTCACTCTCTTAACTTCTTGAAAATTGTCATTACAGCCTCATTAGCCCAAGACTTTAATAAAACCTGCACAGCCTTCAGAAACAATTAACCAAAGCATATCAGGTTAACACACTCTACCAACATCTCTCAGAGGCAGTAGCCTGGAGCATCTCTGCCTGAATGTCTCTCTAACTAACTGCAAAAATTAGACTGAATACTTGAAAAGGCTATTTCTGAAACTGTAAACTAGATTTATCTGGAAGTCTGGGAAAGAAAGGAACCCAGCTGCACTGGCCTGAGGATGGTGAGGGAGCAGCTCAGAGCAGTAGGCTTTGGAAAAGGGTGCAAAAGAAGAACTTGTGAAATGCTGCTCTGCAGACAGAGTAACATTCCCCAGTTAAACAGTGTTAAGAGTCATTCTTAGTAGAAAAACTATGTAAACAAGTAATTACCAATTAAAAAAATCTGCAAGTGGAAGATGTCTTTTTGTTTAATCTGTTAGACTGAAAGAGCCAGTACCTTTAATTTTCAGATGCATCAGGAAAGGAATCAGTCCATAAAAATACATGAATAGAAAATGTTTAGGTATGAGCAAACTGCATTCCAGAAGTGCAGCAATACAAGGCCTGAGAATATGGACAACCCCTCTGTTACAGTAAACATTGATCTAGAAGTGAAGAAGGATTAATGCATTGCAGTAAATAAACTTTGCTACTTCTATTAATATAGTTTGGAATACAAAAGAACTACCTACCCCATCTAATTCCTAAATACCTACTCTAGTGCAAAGAACAAAGACTTCACTATCAAATAAGAGCTCAGAGACAGAGCTACTAAAACCAGCAGTTGTACTTCGGTTTACATCTTAGTGCAATTTGATTAATTTTCACAAATAAGACAAATCTGCAGAAGTAGCATCTGCCTCTACCCCCTTACAAAAAATGCTGGTCTCCTGGTCCTGCAAAGAGAGCCTTCCTTCATGTTGATATTTTGAAAAGAATGCATAATTGTCAGCTCCACTCTCAAGAGACTACACAGAGGGTGTACAGAGAAATATTTATTTATAGGTAGCCTTAAAAAACCCAAAAACCTGTGGTGACAAAAACTCTTCAGTGATTTTTCTGATTGGAGAATGTTTCTGAATTGCAATCAGTGATTCACTTCCTACTTCATTTATTTCAGACATCAAATACAACTCTTTTGGTTTTAATCTGATTATGAAAAAGAAGCAATTTCTCATGTGTCTTTTCTCTTTCTTCCTGTCTACAGCATTCTACTGTTATCTCTTCTCATTTTGCTTTGGAGTTTTGCTTTCTTTCCAGAACACACTTTCATTAAAAACCCCCAAACACACCCCCCACCCCAATCTGCAGTTATGTTTAAACACCAAACCTTCCTGTTATTTCTTGCATTGCCGTTTTTCCTGACTAACAGAGCCCCTTTACTGCAAACATCTCTCATGGATTAGCAGTGAACCTGCAGAAACAGCTCCTTTAAGTCATGATGAAAAGCACACTCTGTGCTCTTGAAAACAAAAAAACAGCATCACTTCTCTGTTCCTTTACCACCCTACAGCTCTGGCATTTAAAAACTGCCCAGAAATCGGGGGTGAAGAAGAGAACTGCTCCATGTCTTAAGTTTTCTTTTGCTGTGAGTCGACTGAACTGGCTGCTCTTTGATGAAGCTCCCAGATACATAGCTCACATCAGCACTGCCAGCTTTTTTTCCTTGCTCTGTTTCTACCAACTCTTTACTATATTCTCCAACTCAGGAAAACCATTACCTTTTTTATTTAGGCAATTTGCCCATTATGAAATGGAATGTAATATTAGCTGAAGTAATTTACAAATGCTAAGCACCCACTACATTCTAGCCAGATTCTAGTTCATAACCAGATTCTCAATGTCATTTTAATGAAAAGTCAATTTTCAACATGCCCCGTGGCTTCTAATTTCCTCTTCAATTTCACACTCCCTTTAAGCCACAGCAGAAAAACACCACCCCACATTCACACCCCTGAAAACGTGCTTCCTTCCCAACTCAGGCATTTTGGTTTTTCCTGTGTGCTTTACTTCACGTCTGCTTCTCATTCCTTTCTGAATGTCTTTTATACTTTACAGTAGCAGTGGGATGTTCTAGGATATGTTTTTGCATAGCTAACATTCACAGATCTACTGGAATCCTTTGCAGTTCTTAGTAAGTATGCAAAGCAGCAGTGATTTTCCACCTAAAATTAATTTTTTAGCATTTAACTCTCAAATTATAGGACTCAAAAGCACATATAGCACCCATGGACTGTAAGATAATCTCTAACATGATAAAATGCAATGAGATAAATTTAAGATCTGCAGTCTTATCCGTTGGCCAGATCATTTAAGTTAAAAAGTTACATTAAGGGGGAAGCCTAAAGTGAAGGTGTGTGGCCCATCTCATTGGTCTAGAGACCCCTAATTTGTAAAATCAAATTACATCATTTGTCTACTTTAAGTGCTTTTCAAAAGAGAACAGTCCCTCAGCAGGGCCAATGGAATTGGACACAGGCACTCCTCTAATGCTTTTCCCAGCTGATTTAATTGGGTAATAGGCACCAGTGCCCATTATCTGAGGAGCACAGATCACTGCAGTCTGCCAGTGCCACCAGACAGGCTCTACCCCATAATCCAAGCTGGAAATTCCTTGTAACACTCAGACCTAAAAAAAACAAGGCAGGGATCAGAGCACTGCAACAGATTACATGGAATAAAGGGTTTGTGAGGCATCACCACCTAGGGGAAAAAAAGCGCCAATTTTTCATAGATCTCACACCTTACAAGGCTCCCACCCAAGATTTAATAAATTAAGACTCTTAATTTGAAATCATCGTGTTTTTTTCATGTCTGTCAGAAATCAGTGCCCATTACGGTAACATTTAGGTATTTAAAAAAATAATTCCTGCTTTCATTTTGTTATCCTCAAATTTTTTAAGAAAGTAGCAATCTACTATGTCATTTGAGGTTATAGCTGGGGGAAATGGGGTGTTTTACAGGGGCACTGAGTTCCCCATTAGGTTTATAGTTTTATAATTTCTCACTATACTTATCATATGCCTACAGTTTAGACACATTCTTTTCAGAAGAAAAGAGTTTGCATAAGAGGGCAGAAAGGAGTAAGTCTGATAAGTGTATTTTTTCCAAACTGCCAATTATAGTATTTCAGAGAATTTGTTTTAGTAAAATATAGTATTTCAGAGAATTTGTTTTAGTAAAATACAGCTATCAAATAACAATTTTTATGGAAGAAATCTCTGTTCATTCACCAAGCATATGTTAGTAGTACACCTGGGCAATTTCAAAGAGATCTTACTTCTTAAAGAGATCTGTGAAAATCAAATTTTTAAAAAGCTACACATTTGTAAGACAGCCTCCAGAGTGACTTAGCAGGAAGAACTGCTGCCCTTCTGAGTGGTCAGATTCATTCAGTGGCCATGCATTAATGGCTCACATTTTCCAGCATGGAACTGGTCTCATAAATGCTCTCCCCAGTAAAGCCAGCTAAATATTCAATTCTCCTAAGGAAAAGGAATACAGGTTATTCAAAGAGAAAAAAATGGTACTAGAAGATGCAATAATATCATACAGCATAATCTTCTTACTCTTGTAATATTAGCACCAGACCAGCTTGGGCCATTAGCAGAGAATAAATTGTTCTTACTATTTTGCCTCTGTTCTTAGAACATAAAGAGCAATTTTCCAATAATTTGCAGCAGAAATGGCACAGAGAATGGTTCTCAAAACCATTAGACTGATCCTCAGCCTCCAAAAGAGCCTAAGGGCTCTCATGTCTGACCACACAAGCCAGCTGTCTCATCACAGGAAACCATAAATCAGAAATCTCAAAGTTAATAGTGCAGAATAATGCTCAGGCACAAGTAATTCTCTGCAACTGCATCCCAGCATCGATTTGCAGCTGACAAGATGTTGTATATTGTACACTGCTTTACAAAATAAACCCTACTCAAGGTAACCCACTAAACCCAAACCAAGCACATTTCAACTGCAGTGCTGCAAAAAGAATCTTTAAAGGAAGGGATGTGGTTCCTGGCTTTGCCATGGATTTCCTATGAAATCATTAAGAAACATGATTACTTCAATCATTTACTAAACTAGGATAGTGACTTGTCTCAGATGATGACTGAGGTGCTTTTGGTTTACATTAATGAAGCATTCCTGCTGAAGTTCAGGAAAGTTATTTTTCTAATAGAGTCAGCTGCCCTCCTCAAAAATCTTTCATGTGTCTGTCAGAAATCAAGGGAATTTCCCTGTGTCTTTTTTGAGAATGCATATTCTTAATCATAGTTACCAAGAAATCTCATCTATAGTATTACATTAATATTAGAAAAGACTGTATCTGAAGAGTGAATCACAGAATTAAACACCCAGATTTCTGTCTTTTTGGCCATGAAGAGAAAACAGAATTCACTACAAAAACAGCATTCAGTGGTAAAATAGTTTTCTTCAAGACAGCAGTTTTACTGCTCAGTCTCCTCAATATCTAGTTACTACATCAACAACCTAATATGAAATCACATAAACAATGCAAATCTTTTTGGTAAAAACTTGATCCAAAAACTTTTCATGAATAGGCTCTGCATAACTACTCTGGATCTTCTTTCCAGAATAGTTTGAATGCAATTACTGTCCTAGCTAATGAGACTGCTTGTATTACAAAGCCCTCAAGTTTCTAGAATATTTAAGTGCTATACTGCTTTTCCTCTTAAACACTGTTCATATAGAGTTTTCAAAGTGGGTTCCTCTTCTCCTTCCCTAAATTTCAGCTTCATGCCCTTAAAAGTTAAAACTAAGCCTGCTCAACTTCCATCCATGGGAATAGCCCCTTTATTCAAAAATCAGGATCAAGACAAAAATATTTGTATAGCTATTTTTAAATCTATGAGTTGATGCTACTGCTTAGATAACTTAATAAGTGACTCCACACTTGAGTAACTGGCTACATAGAGATGCACTGAAGGTGGAAAATAAAAGCACAGATCACATCCCCACGCTTTAGAGATGAAATGTAGGTGACACTGCCACTGAAAGGTGAGAGGGGTTAGCTCTACACTGAAGTCTCTTAATTTTACAGATGAACTCAAAATGATTGACACTTTGTGTGAGGCTGATTCCTGTTTGTGGGCTTTTTACTATACACTCTGTGCTATCAGAATTATAGGATTAAAACCCATTGAAGTCAGCTGCACTTCTAAGACAAAAGACTTGTAAAGACAATTTATTATGTTGTTCCTATTTGAAATTCCCTGGTGTTAGGTTACACAGAGAAGAGCTGCTCTGATGTCAGATTTCAATATAATAGTCATGTGCTAATGGTAACTTCCTGTGCAGCCTAGGCAGGTACATTTGCAGCTTATTTCACCTCTCAGGAGGAAGATGAAATGCAGAAGCCCATCATAAAAGCAGTACAGAAACTCACAGTCCTTGGAGCCTGAGAGATGGAACTCAACTGACCTCCCAGGTTCTTCCCACCTACCCCCCTGTCAGTATATTGAGAAAAAATACCAGGAGTAAGGGTCACAATATTTAAGCTAAATATTCTGATTTTGCAGTAGTGAAAAGAAACTGGCACAGGTAAACCCCTAGCCTTGCCAAAGAAAGGTCAGCCTTGATCCATATGCTAGAAAGAACACGTGCTTACTGACCAGAAATGTGCTACTTATACAGACACCTGGACACAACAAATAAATACTGCTGGCAGTTCTGCCCCCTTTGCTACAGAACACTCTGAACAATTACAGCTTCTTTGCAGTAAAGTCCTGTTTGGTACCAATAATCTCATTTCTTTGTTGCTTTTCACAGGGAAAAGTGTGTTTTCTTCTGCACCCTACCACCACCAAGTGCTGGCCATGCAAAATGAGACACATCAGAGGGAACTACTGTTTTGAGACAGCAGACATTTGTTCAGTTTGGTATTTCTCTCCCCTATCCCAGCAGGCTGTTTGTCTCATATTTTGGTATTTCTCTCCCCTACCCCTCCAACCAAGCATTTTGGGGCTTTTCTGCTGTAACTGATCATTCAGAAGCCCATGGTGAAGTGTTCTGAAACTTTCTGCGGAAAAGAGCCTCTTCAGTAGATGGACAGCAGGCAATTATTTGACTCAGACCATCAGGACTTGACTGACTCCTAGGCTAGGTGCATTTTTATGTAAATACAGAATAAATTCAGACAGCACTTGTATTACAGAATGCTGCAAATGCCTGAAAGAAAATTAAAGCATAGTGTTAAAAACGGTATGTAGGCTCCCAGCTAATTTAGTTTGCATAGAAGCACATAAGGGATGTCAGAAAACCTAAGACAGCTCTTTTTTCTTCTATTTTGCTGCTTGAAGCTACAATGCCAAGTGCAGGTTTGACATAAAAACACAAGCACACGACAATACCAAAGCACTCTGTAAAAGTGACAGGTAACTAACACAGCAGCTTAACTGATAAAACTCCAGCAGTGGCAGAAAATAGTTTGGTAAGTACAAAACAGAGACCTGCTATCAAAACACAATGTAAGCCCTCTAAACTGGTGCAGGTCCCAGCAAGGCAGCCAAGGTTCCCAGGAAAAGATGTGGATCTCTCCACGTCCAAACTTTAGCCCACTTCTGGGAGAGAACGGTGATGGGCAATGGTGCTTGGCTTGGTTTGGTTGCATGTTGTCATGGTGACACAGCAGGCTTTAAAAATCCACTCTGAAGGCTCAGCAACACGGTGAAGCATTACTACAAAACCTCTGTGACTGATTGAGTGAGCCAGCACTTGAGAACTGACTTCCAGTATTGACTGCAGCAGAAATCTCTGCTCACAGGTGAAAACCAACATTTTCTAGACAGTTACAGCAACTCTGCCAGCCTGGGAGGCAAACACAGGTACTACCACAGCAGCAACTCAGCAGTGGCTCAACATTTCCATGCATTAGAGGCACAAAGGTACACTTAAGAGCAGTGAAAAATGTTTGACTGGGAAGCTTGTACAGAAATGACAGACTGCTAGAAGTCTAATGACACCTCCTCGGTGCAGGGTCTTCGTTTGACTCAGATAAAAGATCAACCAGAATTATCAAACTTAATTATTTACAAACACCAGAACTTTTCTCACTGGCAAATTAAAAAACTCACAGCTGACCTTATTCACAGCTTTCCTAGGGGTAAACCTGAATTTTGGGAACATCAGTAAAATGACAAATAAATATGTTGCATCTAACTTTGTGCTTTTTTTCTTCTGTAAATAGCTGATAATGCAGCAGTAATTTAATGGCTAAGACTATTAGCACAAAACTTACCTCCATTTGCTTAGTGCCAGAAAAATATTCCTGAATTCAAGTCTGTCAGCTAATTTTAAAGTTCCACAGTACTTCCCTTTTAATACCCATCCTGTACACATACAAAAAAGCATGTGCTTTTGTGTATCAATCTGAAATTGAATCCCTCCCAAAAAGAGCGAGGCCTGAATTAAATTTAGTCACATCTTATGTGGCAGAACTTAAAGTTTTATCCTTTAACAATAAATCATATAGTCTGCTTCCTGCTCAGGTAAGCACAGTTATTTTATCAAGAGCAAATACTGTGGAATATTCTGAGGTGCTTGCCCATCCTGCTCAAGTACTTCTGTGCAGAATTTCAGTCAAGCTAAATTTATTGATAACATTTCCCTGGGGAATGGTAACTGGTGGACAACAATCACGGGCAAGTACCTGGGCAGCAATTCCTTTCTTTGGGGGTGGAGAAGGGATGGGGACCCTGCTCTGTATTTACCTTGCACCCACTTCACTTCTTCAGGTGACTTGGACCAACAAGTCTTACATTTAGGGCTATTTTAAGAGTGCATTTTTACAAAGAAAACCTTAAATAGCTAGTAGGGTTTTCCAGGGCATTTATGTGTGCTTTAAACATTTATCCTTGTCTATTTATAACTAGTCAATTTGACCTTTACCTTCTTTATTATAAATGAACTGTACTTTATCTTAGTTGCTTTTTATCCAACTATCGACCTTCATCACATGGAATAAGAGTATCTAGCACAATCCTGCAATTAGGCAGAATTTAAAATTCCCAAAGCCACAGTCAGGACCAGAATGACAAAATTCCCCCAGTGAAATGAAACCTGCCAGACTAAGGCTCTCAGTGTAGGGCCTGCTGTTCTTACCAGGCATGAAGGAAATGTTTCTTCATGTATGAACCTGCCAACTCTGTCAGGTTGTGCAGGGACACTTCCAAAGCACACTGCTTGTAACTAAAACTATTAATTACTGCAATGCCATGGAAAATCTTGGGAAGGGTCAATTGACATAGCTGGTGGAAAGAAAACCACAAGCTAAGCTTCCAAAAGCAAATGTGTTACAAAAGCAATTTTTTGTAAACTTATTCACTGTCACTCATCTTCAGCTTGTATTAGTTGTATATTAGAAATGCTTAACACTTTTAAGTAGCTGCAAGCCTACATGTACTTTAATACATCACTCCAGCCCTGCTGCACTAACATCGATGGCAAGGCTGCTTGTACCTCAAGCTCCTGCATGCTGTAATGCAATCTTCTAAGTATCTGTCATACCATATAAAAGAGTAACCTATAGAGGCTAACTAACTCATGTTTCAGGGAAAGTTAAAAAAAAATTAATTCAAAACTGTTTCTACAATGCAGTGCCCATCACAGGCTGTTAAATGTGCTTGCACACTTGTCAAGTGCAGCACCATTACTAACCAGCAGCTATTCAACTGCAGAAGCACAATTTAGAGAGAGAGCAAGAGTACCAGATTTCTTCTGCAATAATTACAATGTCAAAAAGTTTGTCATGGGATTAATTTGAGATTTACTTTTTAGATCAAATCAGAAGTTACACTTCATTACTAGGGAATCTGCCCCCCAGCCCCCTGGCTGCCCCATCCAGAAGTGTCAGTGCAGCTATGGCACTGAAAGAACACATCTGAGCTGTGCAGTGACAGCTTCTTGCCAAGGTGTCCTGGCACCTCCTGGTCATCTGAAACACCAACTGCAAGCACACGTTGAAAGATATAGCCCCCAGCAACACCTGAGAGTTCACAATTCTTACCCTGAATATACTCCTGCACCTGCCCATAGAAACACACAAAAACATTACTGTGATGGGTAGGCAGGAATGGAGAAAAGGCAGGCCAATACTGGGTCCAAGACAACAAAAATGAAGAGGAAATCCAGCTCGATCTTCCCACTCCTTTACGTACAGCACCAAGTCATGCTTTTGCACTCAGACTGAAGCTGCAGATAATAGAATCATTTTCACTGAAATTCTAATTATATTCTACATACCTTATTTTTCTATTACCTACAAACTTCTAGGTAGCCTGAGTAAATTACCCGTAGACAATTTGCACTGATAAGCTCACCTACTCCTATTTCTACTCTATGATTTAAAAAGAACATTATACTGTGTGACCTTATTATCTAAACATATATATACCCACAAATGAACACAGATGCACATACATAGTCTGAGAGATTCCTCGGGAATCCACAGGCATAGAATCTATAGTAAGTCTTCATCTAACCATAAAAATTAAAATAATCAAAATCCTAAATTAAGAGAACGTTTTAAACATAGTTTGATGCTTAAATGCAGTTCCACTGAACACAATGAAGTTAGTTCACAAGCTAATTTCATATCCATTTTATCTGCAGGACAGCACATATACAACTACACACTTGCCACCCCATTTTTGCAAATCTAAATTTCAAACTGAGAGTTCATTTTTATTTTGTTTAAACAGTAAAAACTGTGTGTGAAAACCTATACTTCGAGGGTGAACAATAGCTGAAGGAAGTTGACTTTGTCAGTCTGGATGTAGAAAATACTATAAACTGAACATCTAGGCATTATTTTAATTCAAATGCAAGACCTGAAATGTATTTTAAGCAATGTATTCATTCTCACAAAAACTAATACAGAAGTATCAGACTGTTTATAGCAAGAATGTACAGTCATTTCTTGTTCTAGTTTCACACACTGGTTATTTCTGACTCTCTGTGTCAAGCACTAATGCAAACCACGAAGAACTGGACAGAGAATTTTGTCCTCATTAGAATCTTTAAGTTTCATCCAGATATATTAAAGGAATCGAAGGAGGTAAGACACGTGATCCTCTATCACAATATTAAACATTTCAAATTAGCTGATTTAGAGGAATAGTCTGAATTAAATAGAAGAACTATGTAATTTAAGCATATGTACAAGCTGTTTTGCTGAAACACAGAGCCAGGGTGAAAGCACGAGTAAAATTACCACACATCCTGTGCACAGCAACTCTTCTACTTTTAGAGTGTGTCAGAGATGTGAAAGCTCTGAAAGCCTGGAGCCCAGCAATCTACAAGAGCACTGCTTAAAGCACCTGCCAACAGATCAGCAGTGTGTGCTCACTGGAACTGGTGCAAACTAAGATTATTGGACAGCCCCTGGCACAGGGCTTGTCCAATCTGTCTTTAGGGAATAGAGATAGCCCAGCTGTTCACATTTCCAGGTTAACAGCGAAGTCTAGCAAACAGTTCTGTCTCAACATGCAACAGGACTCCACCCCGGAGAAGTTACTACTGAAAACTGTGCACAAACTCAATTTAAAAAGAACACCTTTCTATGTATCTGCCTATTCTCAAAATGTAACATTTAGGATGTCCCAGTGAACCCTGGAAATGCTCCCATGCTTATGAATGTTTGTCATTACCAAACCAGCTAAACCCCAATACAGATCAGATTTAAATTACTCTAAGATTTTCTCATGTGTAGGTAGCTACATGTATGTAATGTGCACAAAGCAAATGCTGCCTGTGCAATGTTACAGTTACAGAGCACTGCATATTCCCTCTTCTCACTTTTGAGCTGTTTTATGTAAGAAACAAATAAAAAAGTCATAGGATATAAAGTACACAACACGTAATTGCCGAAGTCCAAAACTGTCACT